ATTTTTAAAGATATTGCAGACATGGCAATGGAAGCCAAGTCCATGTAGGACTGTCAAAATGGGCAGGCCATATAAGCTGTTAATTTTTATTTTTTTGGACGCCACTTAAATTAAGGCATAATGGTTTATATTATTCTTTAAAAAAAAATGGATATCGTATTCGAAAAAAAAAAGGTATAAGAGAAACATTTTGAAAGAGTCAACATATTGATATCTTTCCTTAAAAAATAAAAAACGATTTCAGAATTTAGAAAGGAAGACTTTAGGGTAATTTCGACCTTAAAAATAATAATTTTGAAATGAACAATTATATTTACAACACGATTCTTTTTTTCTTGCGCCACATTTTAATTAGACTTAAGAAATTCTCAATCTTTACTTATTATAGCATTTATGTCCCTAACGATTTTTCATATCATTTTTATACTCAAACTTTTCATTAATTATCATATTTTGTATTTGATAACAAGTTACGTCCAAAAAGCAAATCACTACTCTGACTTCAATTTCGTATTCATGTTATATGTTTTAAGTTATCTAGAAGACTGCCTGAAAGATATGGCCCAGTCCTTCTACTCCAATTCGGTTCCCACCATGTCCTCCTGGTGTCCTCTCCGTCCACCGCCGTGGACTGCCTCAACAAAAATGATATCATTTTCGCTAATCGCCCTCGTATGATGGCCGAAAAACATCTGGGCAATAATTATACATCTTTGGCTTGGAGTTCTTATGGAGATCATTGGAGAAATCTTCGTAGAATATCATCTCTTGAAATACTATCCTCTCATAGACTCCAAATGCTTCAAAATATTTGAATCGACGAAGTTAAGGGTATGATCAAAAGGGTGTGTCGCTATTCGGAAGAAAAGCAGGTGGTGGATATGAAAACTGCGTTTTTTGAAATGACTATGAATGTGATGATGAGGATGATAGCCGGGAAAAGGTATTTTGGTGAGAATGTCGAGGAGATCGAGGAAGCAAACAGGTTTAGGGAGATCGTAATTGAGACTTTCCGGCTTGATTCAACAAATACGGCGGATTTTTTGCCAGTGCTGCGGTGGCTGGGAGTGGGTGGGGAGAAGAGATTGGTGGTGTTGCAGAAGAAGAGGGAACAGTTTTTAGTGGGATCCAATGTTCGAATTGTCAAAATAAATGTTCAATTAAATTCTACGTTCCAAGTAGA